AAATGAAGGAATCTGGTAATCTGCAATACAGTGCGTAACAAAAGTATGTGGACACCTCAAATTTTTGTCCTGCAAAACTGCCTTTGAATTTTGCGATATGAAACCTTTACTGTTGAATTCCTCATAGGCGAAAACATAGGAATACACTAATTCTAAACACTTTGTGGACTACTGAACAATTAATTATTGTTTTGAAAAAGTTTCTTAATAACAAAAGTATGTGGACACTTAACAAAAAACAAATGTATCGTGGAAAATAGAATTTGGTTCTTCCTCCAGTGTTCACTATTACTTCGAACATTCTGTCCGGCATGCTGTGGACTAGGATTTGTCATGGTGCCTTCGTCGATTTCCTCCCATGTAGCAATTATTGCCTCCTTCAAGTCTCGCACGCTGTTGTACTGCCCACTGTTCATGTAGATTCGCCGAACCATGATTCCCCACAGGATTTCGGTTGGGTTGCAGTCAGGAGAACACGCCGGCCAATCAATCACTTTGATACCATTGCGTTGGAGCCATTTTCTAGTAGATTTTGAAACATGCACGGCGGCGTTGTCCTGCTGCATCACATGTGTCCTGCGTCGTGGCCCGCTCAGAAAAGGAAAGAGGTTAGACTCAAGCACTCCTTTTGGCGTACTCGTTCCACTTTCAAAAAACCCCCCCCCCCCCCCCCCACACCACGATGGGAAGGCAAGCTCCAACTTTCCTCTGCTTCCAAAACCACCCCGTACCATCAAAGAGGCGCCTCCGAAATTTCGTCTCGAGAACACCAACGGATCGCTACAAAGGCCTTTCAGTTGATTGTTGCTGATATCCATCTGGACCGTCGAGATTGACTTTTTCTTATCAGTGAAGATAGCCTAAAAAGGAAATGCGCATAAGATGTGGCGTTACTGATTTTACAAATATCTCAAGAAACTACACCTTGTCCCACGACGTCGCCATTTTTTGCACGCGCAATAAGTTCCAGTCTCTGCCAGCTGGTGCTTTCCCTGCAGTTTTAGACAGGGAGCCGTTTCGTTCATTGGTCTCTGAGTTTTTGATGTGCTCATTGTGATCGAATAGAGCCCCATATTGTCATTTTCTGAGACCGGATAGATTCATCGCGGCATGGATCTGTGCCACAGAAAGCGGGGAGTTTGAGGTAATTCTTCTGATGTCTTTCGCGGACAAAGATCGTGGGTGCCTTGAAACAGCGTTAGCTGAGTTTGGTTAAGCCATCATGGATTTGGACGGTATATACGCACACGGCACGTTCGCGCCGAAAGTCCCAGCTCTCTTGCGATTTCTCTCATTCGAGTGTCCTCGGCGTCCCGCCCTCTGCTTAGTATACTGCGCCAAAGCTCGAATCGCGAGCTTCTTTCGCTCTTCCGCGATACGGCGCACGCGCGACGTTACCCTACTCGGACCGAACGTGCATCGCAAGGAGGCTTCGATGTGTCGTGATAGGTCAGCATCATGAAAATGCGGGTCTGCCATAGAGTTCCTTGTGTGCCCCTAACATTTTGGACTTCCCTCGGTGCCTCACAATGACTCTTTGATTTATGTAAGGACACACTTTTTCAAAACCGACTAATAACTTGCTTCAGCCTTTAGTCCACTTAAAAGTGGTTGCTAGGACCACTATTCCAGTGCTATCGACTTCTCACCCGCGGTGCATTTGCTCCCCCCCTCTGACTCTTCTCTGGACCCCAACTATTGATCAACAAGTTTTCGCCTATGAGGAAATTCATTGCAATAAGGTCTCATATCGCAAAAAATCTAAGGGCAATTTTTGCAGGACCAAACAATTTGATGGTGTCCACATACTTTTTGATTACGCCACCTGTATTGAGATGTTCTACTAGTACTTTATTCGAATGAATTACTATTTTTTTTAGCTATTCGGTGATGGCAGGATTGGCAGAGAAGATGCTTGAATACGTATTCGGAACGCCGACGTTGATTGCCGCGGGAGGATTGGAGCAGAACTGGACGTGATTTTCTCCGAGGAACCTTCGTTGGCTACGGCATTCATTTACTACACCAACACCCTGTTGCCAACTACCTCAAACTACTATTTATACAAGAGCGAGCCGAGGTCGCGGAACAGTTTTCCTGGTTCTGGGCGAGAATAGGAGCGGAGATAGGGTAGTACAATAGCTCCTGGAAGGCAGTTATGTGGCGTGTTTCTGAGGTTAAGTCATGGACCGAATTTAGCCCGGACCAACAAAACCTTCCATCCCTGCTGCTGGTGTCGGCAGCTAGATCCCAGACTCGCATTGATTTTCATAGTGAAAAAACACATATTATTTCTCGACTTATTCCATGCCATTACAACGAACATATTTATCGCTTTTGTCCGCGCCAAAGCTAAAGGGCGTGACCTATGAGTGGGCGGGGTATGGGATATGACGTTGACACCTTGAGCCTCTGTTTCTTAAAAAGGAATAGCTTTCAGCTGAAAAAAAGGTGAAGGTCAATTTTTCATCGTAGCTACTTCTAGTCGAGATCTTGAAATCAGGAGCAAAGGAGAACCTTTCATTGAAACCGCAAAATTTTTTTACTATACACTTTGTGGCTCTATTCGTTTTTCGATTTTATAGCATTTTAGAGAGCAAGAGCGGTTTTCCTCGAGTCAACACAAATTATTTCAGCCTCACTCCAATCCAGTACTAGGTGCACTGGACGATCTCGAGCAACGAATTTCAGCCAAACGACGAGTTGTCTCCTTTCTGTGGCTCTGGGTAAATACTCTAGGAATCCACTATTTTCTTGATCCTGCAGCAAATGCCTTTGTTGAGGTGAATCTTCTTTGTGACGTCACTGTAGCTAATTACAAGCCCCGCAGTACCAAATAGTTTCTTTTCAGGAGTTATATTGCCATGTACTGGAGGATAACCGTAGCTTACCAGGTTTGGGTCCGATAATTGTTCGACTGACAGCTTTACGTGACTTGCGAGAGGAGGCACGCCGTACCTTAGCCCGACATCCAGCAGTTGTTCTTGAATGCGGGGTGCTCTCCACAATGGCACCAGCACCAAGTCCTGTTTTGCCCAGCGACATCTGTGAGTGAAGCATCTATCGCTCCTGCGGCTATTTTCATGGGAAATGGTTTCAGGCAATCAGATCATCCATCTCTCGGATACCACATCTTTTGCACTTCCTATACGGATGGATAAGACGGCGACGGAGATCTGTGAACTGGCCCGAAACCGCCTTCGTAGCTCACATCACGACGAATTGGCTTTGGTTGAAGTGAAAAGCAGCGGAGGCGAGTTTTATTCATGCTGCTTTGATCAGGAGTAATATTCGGTGTTCTTCTAAAATTGAGAATGACCTTAAGAACGTTAATTTGAGAAATTTTTGTACGAAGGTGCCACCGGGCAAGGGAAGGGTGGTTGGGAATTATCGGTAAGGAGGCTGTCTAAGAGACCCGCATTATAAGGAGGTTGCGGTTGACCGTACACTGTTTGCGGCTTGAATTTTTGAGTAGTGATAGCAGGGCACGTCGTTCGTAAAGTAATCCCTAGCAGGGGGATCGTATTTGGTAGTTGTTAGGAGGAGGTCGTACTGCCTTTGGGACAAATCGCCTGCGTCAGGGGTGACTTTTTCCCGGTTATTGTTCTTTCAGGGGTTTTTTTTTTCCGTTTCGTGGCTTGATGTCCTCTCGGCGCACCTCCCTCTTCGGCAGCAGAAATTTGGTGACTGTAAAACTTTTGGTGAATTACAAAAGGTAGCAGTGATAAGATGATAAAATCTAGTTAACCAGGGATCTGGTAAATGGGATAAAAAAAATTGGGATGGGGGAAGGGGGTCGTACAGGGTGGAAAGATCTGGGGGTAGTCGTTAGGCATTCCGAAAATTTTTTTTCCTACGGTACAGCAGGCCGGACGTGTCTGTTGAAGTGACCAGCATTCCGACATAAAGGTCCCCATTACTACGGTCAGCAATATCCTTCATCTGCGGCTGTCCGCCGTGCCCCATCTTTATTCTTCTTGATCCGGCCGAACTTTCAGAAGCCATTTTTCATATTCAGAAATATTTTCAACAAAAAATTTTTCAGAAAAAGTTGTTTTCTATGACGGCGATGTGAGCATTCCGACGATGTTGTCCATTGAAGTAGCACACTGTACGGTCGTGACAAAGATGAAATATGACTGGCCTTGGTGCGTGCCGTGCTTATTACTCATTTATTATTTACTTACAGTCTTGTTCGCTGCGGACGCTGAGGCGTGTCAGGAGGTGGATTTAGCGCAGTGCCCGCCAGTTTTTGACCAATTACGGTCGCCTGCTAGTTTCCACAGCTGGTGGGTGGTGCAAGGCTGGCGTCGCGTCAAAGCCGCTCCCCTGACACGCTCCATCATCCGCAGCGAACAAGACTGTACATATTGCATTCCCCGCTTGGATTATTTCCTCATAATCTACACCATTAGTCAACGTTCCGCAGTTATGAACTACAGTAATAACTTGCTTTCCTTCAGGTCCCTCAACTCGACCAAAACGGTCCACTCGAGTCCGTTCATGCTTCTGTAATGGAGTACGTCAGTAGCCATGAGCTGGCGCAGCAGCTTCTCGTGTTACATACCCAGCTATTTGAGGTGACGCAATTTACTTTTTCGTAACTGTTGAGTATCAGAGATTGATTACTAAGACTGAACCTTCTCAGCTTTCACTTTGACCTACGGTATTCAGATTTTTCACCTTCTGTTTCTTGTTTTCACTTTGTTTCTTCTGGAAATATGACATATCTCCACCAAACTTATACGTTCCGCTAGAGCACTGAATGACGCGCTTGGAAAAGGGTACGCCATTTTCAAAAGCTCATTGCGGGTGTAATTCAGGACATCCAAGGCGCGGTATCGCATTTGTAGCTACTTGACTCGACATTACACCTTGACGCCAAATGACGGGCCAACTTGTTTTTCGATTCGCAAAACTTCCGTAGGTGTTCAGTACCTAATCAAGTTGACGCTAAAGTGCTATTTAGCCCAATAGCAAGAAATGTCGCCATCGATCGTGATGCCGGAGCTTCGGTATGTTCTGAACTCGTGTCCTCACCTCACAGTACACAGGGAATTACCCTCTAGTTCGTCTGCGACGGTTGGGTGTGTCAGGCAGTATGAATGTGTCACCTCAACCTTCCTACGTCGCTTCTCGTGCCTTCTTGTTGAAGTGCGCATGCAAGAAAACGAGTAATACGAACGATATGATACAGTCATATCATTTGCTCGCTTTCAACAACTGGTGGAGAACGGGTTTGGCACCGCGCCAAACTCATCCCGTCTGACCCACTCAACAGACTAGTGAAGAAGGCCCAGAACTACACTATACTGGGCCTTCTTCACTAGTCTGTTCCTTCTTCTAAGACGCTGAAGAGAAAGTGCAGAGAAGTGGTGCCCTGTCTCCGTTCAAGCGCAGGTAGTAGTGCTGAAATATGAAGGAGTTGCCGTCGTCTGGAACATCCCTAATAGGTCACATCTACCCTCAGACACCTGTAAAAATGCAAGGCATAAAGACTGTGCGTTTGAACGATTCTAGTCAGCCTATTCCTTACAATGAACCCTACTACACCAACCCTACTAACCCTAACTAACCCTACTACGCATTCCGTGCTACTCGCCCAGTAGCATGGTTTTTCGCTGGTCCGCGGCCTTCAAAGGCGGAGTCTAGAGGCGGAGTCACTGTTAAGAAAATGGGTGAAACTAAAGCAATTTCGATCCTTGGGACCTTTACCCTACAGCCTCCGCTGCGGAACTGGTACAAGGTTGTTCATTGCGAACCACACTACCTATTCCAAGCAACTGTTCTCATTTTCAGTCATCATGGCAGTTCCATCAGGTCCTGGGTCTTTGATCCCAAAACCCTTCAAGACACCCTACTAAGAAAAGAGCTTTGATCTGAATCCCAAAGTGATTTGTGCCTTCACGGCAGTCAGTAGATTCACTAGGAACGGTGTTGCGTGTATCTGTGCGCGAGTTTCGGGGCGGCTATTGTCCCTTTTTCCAGGCGCATTGTGGAAAAGTGCTCGTGCAATCGTGGTGGGCTTGTATGTTTACGGATGGTTACTGGTTCCAGTTTGGGAATGGAATCTCCCCTCTTCTCCCAGATCGGTCTTGCAGATTCCCTAGAAATGCCAAAGCCCTTTATATGAATTATAAATTGCATTCGAGATTGTTATATCTGTATTGGAAAATAAGCAGAAATCTTCTTCAGGCCACAGAACGGAGGATCGAACGGTGACGGCTTGCGGTGAATTCGAAAGACGATGTCAGTTTCCCTGGACTAGTGAGCTGCATCAAATTTGGTATTGGCGGCTTTTTGTATGCGCGTTGCGCAGGTTGTGAGATTACTGTTAGTTCCGTCTCACTGATGTCGTGCGTGTATGTCGCGTTACGAGTAATGATCCCGAACGATGTTTCGTCTTGTTCCATGGAGTTTTTCAGACGCAGGTTCAATGGTGTTTGCGTTGGGTTTTCTTTGTTCTGCGCGACTACCCGACTGTGTTGCTGGCATTTGCCGCGATAAACCCATGCGTCACAACCTTCGAAATTCATACAAAATTGGCCATGTTAAGTCGATATTCTCTTAAGCTACTGAAAGTACTCTTTTTTTTTTTGGTGAGGTGCTAGCTTCTTAACTGTTACTTGAACTTTAGTGCAAAGGAAAATCGCGACCTAATGACCCTGTTCGCCATCACTTTGGGACTCAGCAACATCGCCGTCAGCCGACTTGCACATCTCTGGGAAGTGAGTCTACTATAATTCATTTCTTCAGCCTGTACTATAATTACAGAAGCTTTTACCTTTAATTATTACTTCATGTTCATTTTAGACTTATTTCTTTCAGCGTCTGCCAGCAAAGCTCCGTCGACAATTCGCCGAATTTGAATCGCTTCTGGATCCCTCTCGAAATCACCGCCCCTACCGTGCTCTCGTCGCCAAGGTATTTTACTTTTTGGAGAATCACTAGTTGACTCATGGATATCAAGGCACTGCAAACTGCAATGAGCTGCTCCACTAACTCGCTGCTTAGAACTCAAAAACTTCTAATAACTATATGGTCCGTCTAGGTTCTGTGTGTGTACAGTGCGCCTAGGCAGTACCTTACCCACTAGCATAGAAGTACCAACTATTGACAGAGTGATGGTCACCACTCCGTCGACATAAAACGTTACTCAGATCATCATGGTTGTCAAGCTTAGAGGAACGAATTCGCTTTTCTTATGGTCAAAACTCTGTTTTCTGACAACCGCGAAAAAAAACAATTTATGCGACCGAAGCAGGAACCGTAATTCCTGTGTCATCTTCCGCATAATGACGTGTATAAATGAACAAAAAAACGGGCGGGGGGGGGTGCTTCCCAATGGGGCCCCTGCCGACCAAGCTTCCTCCTGGAGCCTTTGCGACTCGGCAGCTTGAAAAGCTCAAGGCACGATAAATTCGT